TTCTTTCTTTTGGGGTGAATTCCTTCATTTTGCCATTTTGGAGGAAGAAAAAGGATAACTTAAATAAAATAAAAAGTAAGAAATATTAAAAACAACACAGAAAATCAAATAAAAGAAGCTAGATCCTCTGTCTAGGTGAGTTTTGGTCTGGTTGTTGAAAGAAACTTGATAGAATAGAGAAAAAGGGAAAGAAAAGAAAAAGAAAGAAAAAGACAAAAAGTAAGAAAGTTTAAAAATTAAAAATATGTATACAATAAAATAGAACAAATGTAATGAAGAAAGTGAAATAGAATAAAATACTTAGAAAAAAATATAAAACATAATAAAAAGAATTTAAAAAAAATTTAAAGGAAACTATGGGCGCCTGGGTGGCTCAGTGGGTTAAGCATCCAACTTCAGCTCAGGTCATGATCTTGCAGTCTGTGAGTCTGAGCCCCAAGTTGGGCTCTGTGCTGACAGCTCAGAGCCTGGAGTCTGCTTCAGATTATGTGTCTCTTTTTCTCTCTGCCCCTCCCCAACTCACACTCTGTCTCTCTCTGTCTCTCAAAAATAAATAAATGTTAAAAATTTTTAAAAAATAAAATAAAAAGACAAAAATAAAATTTTCTCTTTCTGTATCCAAGAAAAATAAATGGAAGGAGAAAAAGAAAATAAAAGAAATAAAAAAAATAGATGAACCAGCAAACAGAGTGAAACTTGAATGAAGTTACATCCAGTTTCCCCTGGAACTCAAACAATGAAGCACTCTATAGTCTGTACACTAAGAAGATGGAGAAACTTGTGGTTCTCTAGGGCATGTGCTTGGAGGGCGGAGTTGGGCGGGGCTTGGTGTAATGGCTCTGTTCTCCACTAGGTGGCACTGCTTAGCTTACTAGGATGGATTGGTGTGGCATATGCGTGCATGTGCATGTAGGTGCACGTGCAGGAGAGGTGAAAATGGCATCACCCAGCTTCCTAGTTTCAGGCACAGGAACTTTGTGTTCTCACCTACCCAACAAGCAATCAAGGATCCCTCCTTTGTCTCAGTCTTCTTCTGTCCATTCCCCACTTCTACACTGTGTCTGTGTCCAGGCTGTCAGCCTGCCATACACCTGGAAATTCTTTTTTTTTTTTCTTTTTTTTAAATTTTTTTTTCAATGTTTATTTATTTTTGGGACAGAGAGACAGAGCATGAACGGGGGAGGGGCAGAGAGAGAGGAAGACACAGAATCGGAAACAGGCTCCAGGCTCTGAGCCATCAGCCCAGAGCCTGACGCGGGGCTTGAACTCACGGACCGCAAGATCGTGACCTGGCTGAAGTCGGACGCTTAACCGACTGAGCCACCCAGGCGCCCCACACCTGTAAATTCTTAAATCAGACTGATCTGGATTTAAATCTGGCACAGCTAGTTAGGAACTCTGTGACTTTGGACTTGTTATTTTATCTTTCTGAGTCTCTGTTTATCCATCTGTGCAGTAGAGTTAATATTAGTAGTGACTTCTTAAGTTTGTATTAGATGAGTGAATATTATACTGTAATATAATGCTTATTACAGTGTTTCACACAAGGGAAGTAAGTGGTCTTAGATATTATTACATTTTTAATCTATTTTAGTGATATTCGACCAGGCTATCCCCTGACAGTCCCTGCCTTGTCCAAAGAGAGAGAAACATTTGACACATTAATTCTTCACTAAATTTTTCAGCCTGCAGCCACAGGACTCTGGATTACTTCTTTCTATTGTAAGAGCCACCCAGCAGGCTGCCTATTTTAATAGAATTTCTCCTAGCACCTCCTGTTTTTGTCTAGAGAAGTTTTAGAGCTGGTGCAGGCACATGCTCACACAACACACTTAAACATCACAAATGCGGATGAATGCATTTGGGAGCAGTAGAGGAGGGCATCATGGTCACCACTGCTTCAGTGTGTACAAAAGTCTCTGATGTAATCAGAACCTTTGATGTCCCAGGGAATAGAGCTTCCCCTCGCCCTTTATGTCAAGGTGCCAGGCTGTGGTTAGAGGTTTGACATGTCATTGGGCTTTAATTGGTTGCTGTGTGTAAGGCTTTCCTTCCTGTCATGCGTACTATGGAATTAATAGCACCCACAGCTAATATTTTAGTCTGAGCTCTTGCTCAGCCTCCATGTTAGTCTGATGCCCTGGTACAACATGCATCTTTCCTTCTATGTTGAATGTGACCATTTTATATTCCTATCCAAACCCTGTTTATTTCTACAATTAATTTCACATTTAACTATCATTAGACTCATGGATTTAGAAAAGGCTATTTCAGCCAGATGTTCACTATTTGTGAAATTAGAGAATGTTAGAATTAGAAGGGATCAGCCAGTCTTATTTCTCATTTGACCTTTGAAGGAACAGGCTCAGAGAAGGGAAGTAACTTCCCCAGGATCACACAGCAAAGAATTGACCTAGCCAGGACAACTCAGGTCTTTTCATTCCTAATCAGATCTCTTTCCAAAGTGTCTTTTGAACTGTGTTTGATAGAGCACAGATTTGGTCCAGTGATACCCTCAGTCATGTGCCTTGGAGATCCCATTTTAGTTGCATTGAACAAAATATACACTGTAATTTCTGGGCTTATAGCCTCTTGGGGTCTATTAAACTGAATATTTCAATTTATAAGTTAGAAGGCTTGAAGATCCACAGCTTGTTAATGAAAACTTTCCATGCGATTTTAAAGCTGCCATCCTTGTGAGCTTGATTTAACATCTTTTGAAAGCTCCCCCAGGAGTAAAGAAATAAAAAAAATCATTTCAGAAAATGATTTCAGGCTTTAAAATATTTTGTCAGAAGAAAAAAATCAGCCTTAAATTTTTCCTACGTCCTATTTGCAGTAGTGAGAGCTCATTTCTTTAGTAGTCCTTGGTTCTAGGGTTTTAGGCTTTTGTTCTTAACATTACTTCAAAAGATGATTGGGGCCAGGGAGTGTATTAAATGGGTGATGGGCATTAAGGAGGGCGCTTTTTGGGGTGAGCACTGGGTGTCATATGTAAGAGATGAGTCACTGGGTTCTATTCCTGAAGTCAAGTCTACACTATATGTTAACTAACTCAAATTAACTAACTTGAAAGATGGTAACTATATAGAGCATATCCAGTGACAAAGACGTGTTCCAGGTGAATAAGATGTGTTTACAGATCAGAGGGTAGAATTCTGTGAGGATTTTGTGAAATTAAATGCAAAACATTGGGTGTCCATACAACCAGGCTCTTACCCAAAGCCAGCATACTAATCTGTGTATCAGGGAAGAGTTACAGTGCATCATCCTAGCACATCATGGGTAGCACCAGGCTAAGCTGTTCGGGAGGTGTGTCCTTGTGTCACTGTCCAAGGTACTGAAACCAGGCCTTCACTCACAGAAAGCATCTATACTATCCCATCTGAGCTCCTGTAGGAAAAAACCACTGTTGTTTTCCTTCAATCGTTTCCATCTTGACTCAGACATATGTGGTTTTTACATCACTCTAGAAGTGACAGAACTGTGCCTTGTGTTTCACTATTAATATATTTATTTTCTATGTACATTTGATATGTACATTTGATGACTATGTCAAAACAAGCACCGTTTTTTCCTTTGAACCTAGGAGAGACACATTTCTCTCCCGATGCCTTTCTCTCACCAGAAACTTGCTAACGTTGTACAGACTTAGTGGATGCTTTAAAAAAAATATATGGCACAGCCCCTAGACTTAGCCAATGTACATATTTACTTATCAATGTACATATTTCTAGCAATATTATAATTATGATCAAGTCATTGTAAACATTCCTATATAGTCTTGTATATATTCAATTTAAAGTAACCATTAATTTTCTTGAGTCTGAATTGAAGTTATCAGGTGGCTCTGATTTGTTTAAGAATTATCTCACTGATCTATGGGGATGGAGACTAAGTATGTCTATCTTTCTTTCCTAGTTTCTCTCCTGTAGAAAATCCACTTTCATACTCTGAGAAGAAACCCAGAAATCAAAGTGAATGATTTGTATTAACAGAGTCATGTCCTTCCAAAATCAAAAATAATTTTTATTGCCACATCCAACTTTGATTAGCTACTTGGCAAGAGATACATACCCCTACATGTATGTTTGTTGGTGAAAACATATCCAGAATTCCCATGAAAGTCTGATAGTAACACTATTACTATTGTCACCACCAGTAATAATAATAATAATAATAATAATATTTGTAATTATAGCTAACACACCTGTAGGGTATAGCATATTCCAGTAACTACTTTCACTGTTTTACATACATCAACTAATTTATCCCTCACAGCAACCCTATGAGGCAGATGTTGGTGTAATCCTCATTTGGCAGATGAAACTGAGGCTAAGTAATTTGACCAAGGTCAGACACATATAATTAAGTTTGACTTTAGTGCTAGCCTAGTAGGATATTGAGTGTATAAACAGTGAGATGATTAGAAATCTGGGTATCCCCCTGAAGTACTGATTTCCCAGACTACTGTCAGGTGTTAGACATCCTGGGGTCTCCTTTCTTGAGCTTGGTGGAAATGACTGATAGGAAATCTTCAAGGAAATCTTCGAGTTTGTTAGTATAAACCAGACAAGTTGTGGCCATAAACCTTGTTTGTGAGTACAGGCAAGGGAATAAGCACTGGTTTGTATCAGTGCAGTCATTTGCGCTGATATGAAGAATGGCCTAGCAACCACATGTGGGGTGTGAGTGGACCACATGGTGATTGATGGTCAGACTGTAGGGGACACTGGCATGGACAGGCTATATGAAAAGTGATGAGTGACCAGGCATGTTTAGGAACAATGCCCATGGAAAGGACAAAAGTGTGGAGGAGTTCAAGAATGTTTGCTTTGTTTTTCAGAACTAACTCTATCATCTGGAAGTTGTCATACATGAATTTCTCTCCCAGATTTATATGTTTCTGAACCATCTCTGTGTGAAAATTTTGATTTTCCTTTCTTACCTTTCTTTCCCTTCCTTCTTCCCTTCCACCCACACTTTCCCCTCCTTTGTAGCCTTCACATGGTGACAAGACTTCTAATCCTGAAGTCCTGAAATGGATGAATGATTTGGCTAAAGGTCGTAAACAACTTAAAGGTAAGTGCCAGCCAAGAGTCTCTTTTTCCATAAAGGAAGCAGTTAAAATAGATAATTTGCTCCAAGATATTTTTTATTCTTTTCCACCTGTGCCCTCTTTAACCTCATTTCTCACGTAGATTGGAGGCTCCATTTTGAAATAAATGGTCCTGGGTCCCTTTCATTATTTGGCCCCATCTAATAATTCTCCTTACAAAGAGATTGAAGAACTCCAGACTCCAAAGAGAAATGATTCACTTCAGTGCCAGGAACAATTCAACACGTGGAGTATTAACTTCCCCCTAGGTTACTGGGTTCTTGGATGTTAGAAAAAGGCCTGAACAATCATTTACTCCGTATACACCATTGTACATATGAAGACATTTATGTCCAGAGATAGAGACAATTTATGTAGCTGGGAGGTAGTGAGCTAGATATAAAACTCAGTGCTCTTACCTCCTAATCCAGTGTTCTTCTTTCTTCTTTCTCTGGAGATTATGATGATGATATGAGTGTTAATTAACTCTGAAATCCATTTAAAAGGACTATGGTATTTACCAATAAAAATTTATTTGCCTCCTCTGGGGCACCTGGGTGGCTGGCTCAGTTGGTTAAGCGTCTGACTTTGGCTCAGGTCATGATATCACATTTCATGAGTTTGAACCCCACATCCAGTTCTGTGCTGACAGTGCAGAGCCTGCTTGGGATTCTCTCTCTCTCTCTCTCTCTCTCTCTCTCTCTCTCTCTCTTTCTCTCTCTCTCTCAAAATAAAGAAACTTTAAAAAATTATAAAAAATTAATTTTCCTTCTCTTTCCACATTCTTTTTTTTATTTATATATGAAATTTATTGTCAAATTGGTTTCCATACAACACCCAGTGCTCATCCCAAAAGGTGCCCTCCTCAATACCCATCACCCACCCTCTCCTCCCTCCCACCCCCCATCAACCCTCAGTTTGCTCTCAGTTCTCAACAGTCTCTTATGCTTTGGCTCTCTCCCACTCTAACCT